CAAGAAAGTGGGCAACATGAAAAAGTTTCAGCCAGAAAGTTTAGTACTTCACATGTGAACATGGTCAAATATTTAAGCTTTTCAAGGAATCACAAAAAGCTGGAAGAACAGATTAGTGAGCATGCTAAGGATTAACAAAACTCTGATAATTTTGCGTGGAGACGTTAGAAGTTTAAGCAAGTGTATGTAAGCAAAAGAGTATATAGCAGTGTGTCTATAAGGATGTGGGAATGTTTTTTTTTTTTGCTGTGGGAATAAGAAATATCATCAAAGTATATTACAATCTCTTTAATCACACAGTATCCAATGGGTGACATTTAGTTGGCCTGTTGCTTTGAATTCCACTATAATAATGATCCAACACACACCTCCTCACTGAATAAAATGCACTTAAAGAAGGAAGAAAAACAGTGGAGCTTATGCAGGAAAGATGGAAAAAAAATGACTATTTTATAATTTCATGAAACTTGTATCATACATGGCAGATGATGTCATCATATAGTTAATGCTATAAAAGAGGATAAATATTGATTATAGTTTATTATGCCTGGTTTTGTTATAATGAGTATAAATATATCATGCAAACCAAAAAAAATTTTCTTAAACAAAAATTAGTATTGAAAACTTTTGACTCAAAATTATGACTGAAAATCAACATAATTTTTTACAAATATTTCTATATACAATATTTATTTACTTCAATCATTTTTCCTTACATTTTGACCATTTATGATAATGACGGTTAAGCTGTTCAACATTAATGATGCTTAAACAGTAATAAAATAAGACCACTGATTTTGCAAAAAAGGATATTTAAATGAAATTTAATTTTCCTCTCTGTAGACATCAATGAATGTGCAGACAACTCTAATACCTGTCACAGAACTGCTTTTTGTATTAATGAGGAAGGAAGTTACCATTGTGAATGCCAGAAAAATTCCTCGTGCTCTTTGAGTGAGTTTTGTTTTCTTTCTCTAACAAAATATTTTAGAATAAAAGAGTGATTCACTTTATAAATTTTGAATTTTAATAGAATGATATGAAATCCTAATGAAAAAATAATGTTTGTCAACCTTCTCTATTTAAGTTATAAGTATTTTGGGTTTGTGATTGAAGATTATATGTGGCAATGAAATTATATTTGGAATTATTATTTGCAAACTAATTAATAATATCAACAAATGCATTTAAATCTAAATTCAAAAACCAGTTAAATATTTGCCAGCTAGAGTGTTGGTACTCGTGTTTATAACCTTATTTTATAGTTATTATTATCTTCAACCATTATTTTTGAATGAAACACTTATTATTTCAAAATATAAATCAGTTTTTTTATTTATTTATCAAAAGTCTCCCTTTTGACTCAGGAGTAAATCTGAGGGCTTATAATGCTAAAAATTAGCTTTCAATACCCATGGTGAACAGACCACAGATAGCTCATTGTGTAGTTTTGCGCTTAGCAACAAACAAATCAGTTATTAAAGCTAAATTTTAAATAAAATTGACAAACTGTCATCAATATTGTCATGTGAAATTAATTTCCTAATTGTTTACATAATAATCAATGACAGAATAATTTATTCCCCCCTGGTGGATCAGCAGTAAGGTTTGATTCCCTACAGTGGACAGAGTGAATATTGCCCATTGTGTAGCATTTCACTGAAATAAACAGAATTATTCTGAGATTTGAAGAAAATATATTAACTAAATATTTTACATTTGATTTTTCTTTTTCACTTTCACTATTAAAATAAGATGTAAATGCTTAGAGTTTGAGAAAAGACCAAGATTGATTAATTTTTGTTATTATTTAGGTTGTGTATATTATGGAACTGAAAAACCAAATGGTGACACCTGGTTAGCATTAGATTCAATTTGTACTGAATGCTTCTGTAAGGCTGGTGTAGTCACATGTCAGAAACAAGAGTGTGACTGTAACAGGCCAGACATCAATCTTGACTGCTGTCCTGAATGTGACACCTCATCCTATTGTCGTCACCAAGAAGTATCAAAAATTTTTCACAATGGGGAACGTTGGGTTTATCAGTGTCAAGTTTGTGAATGTTTAGTAAGTTTTTTTATTTTCCTTTTATTTTTATAAATAAACTTTACTTAATACTTCACTACTTTTTCTTACTTATATAAGATTTTAGGATCACTTTAAAGATGTCTATCATACTATCACTAGGATTGGAAGCTTTGAATAATTAGATTAGTTGTAAATTGAGATTTAACATTTTTTTTTGAAGTTAAGTAAAAATGTAAACCTTAATTTTATGATTATATTGAAGGAACAGTAATTAAATTCATTGATAGTTTACTATCTATTTTTCCAGTTAAACTAAGTATTTGTGCATATTGGCTAATTTCGTGATATATGTTTATTTGACTAGGGAACCTGAGTGTATCTCCCTCAGTGTCTGAAAATAATTCTTCTCTCAGATAACTGAAAAGAAATTGTAAACCAAGACTTTTAATTTCTTATGCAAAACTTCTTCAGTTTGTAAAAGAGGAAGCTTTGACGAAGAAGTAAACACGTTAGTTTATGACTTCTTTTCAGTTACCCAAGAGATGCTGAAGTTTTTTCAGTAATTTTGTGATAGTTAAGCATTATTTAACAAGTTAACTGCTGCAATGCTTGGCATCATCTAAGGCAGATGCTGATAATAGTTTTAGTGAAATATTGTTGTGTTCTCAATTTAAACAATTGTAAACATTAAATCAAAAACATGTAATTCTGACATATTTTATTTAAGGTGCACATGTGCATCCTCAGCATTACACAAAGATTATGGAAGTGAAGTGCTGCAGACACACATGTGCATCTAAAAATTTATTTAGATAAAAATTTGTGAAAATATTATGATATACACGTCATGTCACATGATGAGTAAATCAAAATCTTTTTGTCACAATTTGAAGCACAGATCCAAACAAAGTCTGGATGATTCTAGACTCACTTAACAGTTATAATTTATGTTTTTGATACATAATCTGCACTTTTTCTCATTGTTTTCCTGCTAGAACCAATTTTGCATCTTCTTAACAAATGTTTAACATCTTTAGCTTTTGGTGATTTACTTGCAACTAGAGGTGGTAAAAGCTCCTTTATTACCGCTAGACAAAAATAATACAGTGTCATTTTGTTCCCAGAATAGTGATTATACAAATAAAAGGAATTTAGCAGAGTCATTTTTAGTATATGAATACAAATACTGTTATGCCACTTTATGGTTTTACTTGAGCAAGGAAAATGTGATAATATCTGATCTTCCCTGTTGATTCTACTCATATACACATGGAAATATAAATTATGTCACCTATACTTAATGCTCACAGCCATATAATGTGTTACTGTCTATGTACATTTCAAAGTGTGGTTAGGAATATCATCTAGTTTGGGGTGCACATGTGCATCCTCAGCAGTGAAGATGTTCAATTGTTTCAAGAATATGCATATTTGGGAAGCTTGTTTTTTTAATAATTTTATGTTAGAAATAGATCATGCTAGTAAAAATTATGTTTTGTTCATTATCTTAAAGTTCATTTTTCCTGTGTTTTTTATATCCTGGTTTACTGATCTAAATTGTGACTTTTAAATGTCAAAATGTTAATATATTTATTATAGAATTATATTATTACATAAAGCATTTTTTAAACTCAAGTAACACCTACTCTGATAATTTTATTATATGAAGGTGTTAGTACTAACTAGAATTTTCCTCTTGTTGACACAAGGTGTATTACCTATCTTTTTATTACCTTATACATATGTGAGCATACGGACACTTGCAAATGACTGGGAATAATGTGAGAATACAATGACCCATTGCAACTAAAGTTTGTTCCTTCTGTGGAACTATGAACTATAATAATTCACATAAATTGTGGTCTACTAAAGTAGCACAAGAGCTATGTTCACAATCTTCTCCCAATCCCAAAACACACAGCCAAACAGAAAATTAACTGCTGAAAGCTGTATGTGACATTCGGAAGTATGTCTACTGAAAAACTTCAAGTAAATTGTTATTGTTCTGCCAGTGATACAACATTTCAAAAATGATACAGAGCATATCAGGTAAGTGTTTCCAAACAATTTATGGTGGTTGCAGGTTACAATTATAGTAAAAAGTTAAACATCTGGAAGCGAGAAAAATATCAAGGTGAATTCTATACACTTACAGGCTGTGTTGACACACTAAACCATGAGGAAATACCATCTTTGTATGGACTGGATGCTCAGAAAATATGGTATGTTTACATTAAGACAAAGAACTCGGTAACACATCCAAAACATGCCAGTCTTGCTGCTGCATGCTATACCATGGATTTCTATCGCTTTGGTTTGTAACAGGCCCATGAAAGTCATAGTTTATGCATTGTTGATGTACTTTGTTAGAAACCATATAAAGATGATGGAGACAGCATTTACCTAAGTGTATTGTGCAAAAACCTCCTATGGTGAAACTTTTGCTACAAGGCCATCACATACACAAAATACAAGAAACCAAATAAAAGTAGATCAAACTAGTTATTAGTTAGTACTATTAGTTGCAGAAATAAACATACAAAGTAAATATAATACACTGATTCCAACAAAAGATGGAAGAAGGTGCCTGTTAAGGCTAGGCTTTCATTCTTGTTTTATTTACATATTTTATGAAAACCCCTCTTTTTGCCTTTAAAAAACAGTTATTTGATCTAAACATGTTATATTCTGTATCATACTCTTCTAGGCATTTTATCAAGAAAACGTGACAGATTAACTGTGCTTCATTTTATGAAAAATATGATGTTCAAGATGTTATTGTCTCCATAATGCAGAAGTTAATGTTTCATTATGGAATAACCTTATTCATAACCAATCTTGTAATCAATTACTAGTTTTAATGTTTTTCTTCTAAAAAGTTTAAATTTTTTTCCCTTGAATAAACTGTTAATCTTATTGTTTAAGTTTGGTGAGATTGACTGTTGGGAACTAGAGTGCCCGCCAGTGACGTGTGACTATCCTGTTCAGCATGAAGGTGATTGTTGCTATCGCTGTGAAGATGATGTTTGTAGCTCTCAAACATTCAGTAGAGATGAAGTCAGTGGAAATGTTACTTCAAACCAGCATCGTGATCGGGGATGTACTTACAAGGGATACTTGTATCAGTCTGGGGATCCAATCCCCATCAATAATGATCCGTGCACTTCTTGTAACTGCAAGGTAAGAAGTTAACATATGCTAGCAATGTGTGTTGATTTTCATATAAAATTCTGTAAGAAAATTATAAATAATCTGATGAGATTTTATGCTACATCAACCAGAACTAAAATAGTAAGATATTTATAGTGTAAGACATAAGTGTAGATTTATGGTAACTTGTCTAATAACATATTTTTCTCTTTAATTTCTGTAAAAAAAAAAAATTATTTTACACTGATCATAGTTTTGCTCTTGGTGAAATCAGCATTTTATTCATCAGTTAAGTTATATGATGATGTATTACAAAATATTATTTATTATTCATTTTTTAATTTTATTGTATAGCATTACATTTTTTTTAATTTTGGGGTTTATTTCTGCAACTAATAATACTAATTTAACATCAACTACTGCATGTAGTTTGATCTACTTTTATTGACTTTTTGGTGTCTTTCATTTAATTTCTTGTATTCATTTTTTTATGTGTGAAATACTAACAAATTTGCACCAATGGCCGATTATCATGCTAATTAACTAATATGTGCCCTCTTTTTTCAATTAATTTTTGCATTTTGTGTTCCCTTGTCATATTAAACTTTTAAGTGATTTATGTTACTGTGAAATATTTGGCTTTATAAAGTACTGTATTTGGTCAAGTGGTGCAGGTTTGGACAATATACTCAAATGAGCAGTTGTTAGGATCTAAGTTGAAAAATTTCTAAACAGTAATTTAATCTACTTTTGCATGCAAATGTTTTTATATTTCAATGTACCAAAAACCTCCTAAGGTTATAGACAGTACAAAACATTTGCAATATTTTTGAGTGCTTCTTCCTTAAATTATTTCTTGCACACAAAAAATATTGTACTTTACTCAGGAAATGAATTACAAAGTTAAGAAGCTTGGTATTAGCCAATCACATTTGTATGACTGATCATTGGAAAAATCAAATTCTCAACTACTGCTATTTTAAAAATCAATACACACTGAGCCCTTCTGGCCTAGTATGTTGTACTGTTTCTTGATGGTTTTTACATTATCTTTATTATATAAATTCTCAAATAATTTGTATGTGTAAATATGAAGAAAAAAGGAATATAGCTATGTAATTCATATATTTACAGGCCATAAGTTTTCAAGATAGATTTATGTTTTTGTAATAATTTTGAAAGTATAAAATCTTATTATGTTCCTGGGCATCCTATTACAGGGGAAGAATGGTCAACACTCGATGAGCAATAGAGCTTATAGTTCACTTCGGTAAACTCAAAGTTATTTTTATTTCCTATTTTCACCTTAAACATTTCTTCATTTCACACACTCTCTCTTTGTTTTCTTAGCACCATTTTTCACACTTCTGGTTTTCTATTCTTTTGTTACATTCACTATTTTATTGAATTTCTGACATTAAGAAACATCCTACATGTTTGATGTAAAATTAACAGAAGCACTTGTATACAAAGAGTGATTAAACATTATAAAAGATAATGTTGATATCAGATATTAGAATTTTGCAAAGATTTTTACCTGTGTCACTGTAAAATTCAGAGATGCTTCATCTTCAATGTCCTCCTCATGAACTTTGCCTCAGATGATTTTCTTCTGTTACTGTACTTGGTTGTTTTAATGTATTCTAATTACTCTTATCTGGAATTCATAAATCATTATTACTCTTTCTGCTAGACAAAATTATTAATACCTATTCACCCAAGTTTTTATATTATTATTAATAGGATTAATATGAGTGATATGTATAAAAAGCTGTTCAGAAAGAAACAATTGTTTTCTAGTACTTTAAATATGAACAGATTCTGAATGATATCGCTTTAAAGGGACAATATTTTTCTACTGCTAATAGCACCAAAAGTTTCTTGTTTCCATGATAGGTAACATGAAACACAGTTACTTAATCTCAACTTTGAGTGACAATGATTTTGAATACCGTACTGCAATAAAGTTCTTGATGTAAGAGAATGAAAAGGCTGTGAGCGTACATCACTGGTTAACAAATGTGTATGAAAATGATCTCTTATCACATACTCATATGCATAAGTGAGTCACAAGGCTTATGGTTCTCAAGGTTGATCAAAATTACCATCAGACATAAGCTTAACCTAGATGAGCCGGGATTTGCAGTAAAAGATGAAGCAACTGCAATATGATCTATGTCAGAGATACTCTTCATGAATTGGAAATCAATATTCAGTCTATTGAATCCATTATTCATAACAACTTTCATAATGATGTATCTGTCCAATGGTTTCATAGATGTTAACAAAATAATACAAGGAAGACATATTTGACAGCTGCAATAGTTAGTGTTTTAATATAATATTGAATTGACACATTTGATGAATGTTCATTGCATCAACTTGAGACACAAATCAGATATGGTTGAATAACAGGTTAGGAAATCACATTTCTTTCTGAACACTACCTATAATTGTAAAGTGCTATTTTATGCCTCCATTTTCTACTGCAGATTTGAAACTGATTGTGAATATTTTTATCAAGCTTTTAAAAATTAGTTATTTATCATCTTGTAATGCCATCAAATTGGAAAATTGGAATTAATTAAAACAACTTAAACAGTAAAATTCTAAATATTATAATGGTTTGATGAGAAGTGTTTTATGATTTCCTGAACTCTGGTGATGGTTAAAATATCTATTAATTGCTAGTTAAAAGTATCTTCATTTTTTGTGACTGGTAGAGGATGTTCATGTTTCTTTATTGCTATGTAGCTTTTCAAGTCACAGGGGTGAACAATATTATGCATGTTGTAAGACTGTGTGGCAGAACTTATAATTGTCATGAATTGTTTAGAAGTTAATTAATTAATTTCCAAGCCATTATCATGGTTCTTTTTCTTATAGTGACTGCATTGTTAATTTTTCTTTACTTCCATTGTTATACAGTTACAAAATTCTGCATCAATTCTGTTTTCAGTGTAGAATGAAAGCTTAGGCACTGTTTATCTCTCAGGACATGTAATTATATTTGTATAAGAACAAGTCCACCATATCAAGCTCTGACACACAGCCAAAGAACATGTATATATCTCTTCCATTTCACCCTCAGTGGCCTGGAAAATACAAAAAAAAACAAAAACAGAAGAGACAGGAGGTTTCCTTAAAAAATATTTTCAACTATAATTATTAATCATATCATGCATAAAAGACTGGTTGGTACTAACGTAAAGAAATAATTTTAAATTTAGATACTTGGTATTAATTCAGTAATAGTTAAAACTTAAGATTAATTACTTTTTTTTGAGCTAAAATCTTTAATATTTACACAGCTTAAATGATTTTATGGACTACTGTATCAAAATGTAGTTTAAATTTAAAAGCCTGTAATGGAGTATAATCAAATTCATATTTCAAACTGTGTCAGTATCATCTGTATTAATCTATTGAAATGTGTTAATAGAAAGTGTTCTGATTTAATATTTTATTTTAATGTATGATGCATATTGTACTTTTTTTGTGTCTGTACTTATTTTTTTAACAGTCACCAATTGAATTTCACTCACTTAAAGTCTTTTAAGCATTTTAGAAAATTTTTTGTTAGCACTGCAAGAGTATAGCTATTGTTACGTCTCCGCTTGTTAATTAACTTTTCGTAACTTCGTTCCGACAAAACTTTAGCGACACAAGTTCTTTACTTAATAAAACTGGTTTATTCTTTCCGAATACAACTTTACCGATACACTCAACTTCAACAATCGCGCTAAACAAACGCTATAACAACGAACGTGCTCAATAATACTTCTGACTGCAGATCAATTACTCACTATCTATACACACATTACCTTGTCACGTTGTCCCCCTCTTTTATAATCCCGACTACCCTATATCTAGTAAGAACTAGAACATTCGCCAAAGTACAGGATAATTCTAGAAAGTAGAGAGCGTGAGAATCACATGATCTCGATGACGCAACACTATATTTAATCATTTTCATGGACTTGTATATTTAGATAAGTGATATATTGGAATGGAGCTCTTTCTTCAGTCTTTTTTTGTTTTTTTTGTACTTGATAATAAAAGAAAACTAGTTGTTAAATTTGATTAATTTTTTTCATATTAATATTAACTCCCAAAAATATTGTCAACAGTGATAGTACCCAACTGATGAAACATTGAATTCTAATCGTAATATGTAGAAATGCAAGAAGATGAATTTGATTAAGTATTCTGATTACCAGGTTGAATTTTAGTTTCACTCTAAGTACATAACTTGCTCTGATTGGAAGTTAACATTAACTCTTTAAGTTGATTATTCCCCATTACAGGCTTGTAAATTTAATCTACGTTTTGATACAGTAGTTCATAAAATCTTTTGAGCTATGTGTAAACATTAAAGATTTTACCTCCACAGATAAGTTATTAATCTTCATTTTAATTGTTATATTTTTATAATGTTATTGTCTACCCTTGTGTGCACTGAGATTAATTCAGCATTTGAATTTTTTTTATGCTTATAACCAAAGAATTGCAGCATGTCTCTTCATTTCACTATTATTCTATCTTCTTCCTGTTTCTACTTTCTTTAGTGTTTTAACTTTGTCGTAGATCATCAACAAGAAAAAATAATTGAGTAGTTAGAATCTGAGAAAACCTACTAAACAATAAATTGTGTTATTTAGTACAAGTATAACTTAGATTTATAACTCGCATGAAGAATTTATATAATTGCTAGAGAATGGAATTTTAATTTGTTTTTGAAATTAAACTGAAATCAATTTTCTCTGTTCATATTTATTTGTTATTCTATGATTTAGTGAAGTTTAAGCATACAAAATGTTTCAGTTTAAATGTTATTCAAAATTTAGAAAACTATTATTTGTAAGGTAACTTACGAACTAGGAGCCAAATGTTAATATATTAAAGCTATTTTAATCCATACATGGTATAGTTGTTATGATCGATGTGATAATGAATAGAAATGTTTGTGTAAAGTTGTACTGTTTTCTGTACTTGCCAAACATTTGTTTTATTTAGGATGGACAACTCTGCTGCTCATACACTCCTACTTGTCTTGCCAACTCTGATGACACTGATATTTTGCCCGCTACGGACAAACATAAACATATCAAACCAAATTTTATTCATAACTCTAAGCAATATCTTTTCAAAGAGGAAACGACACAGGTGGAAGATCTCCCCATATTTACTGAGGATTATGCTCATACAAGTTCTCCTTTTTCAAAGCTCCTCTTGGTTGCAAAATCAACACAGTTTCCTGACTCACATATGGAGGACCATCATTTTAAGGTGTCTTTAAAGATTACAAATGACAATAATCCAAGTAATAACCATGGAAACATTGAAAAAGAATTGAGTGGTGCTAAGGATCATCTAGGCAACAGAGAACAACAACAGGATTTCACTGAATCCCAAGAAAGCACACAGATGCAAGATCGTGGAAAAAATTACCAAGGTCACAGTAAGGAATGGGTAAACATTCCAGAAGCGAGAGGAGTAGGGTTTCCTATCTTGTTTACTTCTGTGTCTGAGGCTTCTGGTGTGAACAATGAGTGATAGTCAGAAATCATGTTAAGAAGAATGTATAGGAATATAATTTGTGTGAGGGCCAAAATAGGTTCTTTTGCCTTCAGCTCATAAGCAGTGTCTTTGTGGAAGGTTCCTTTTCCACTTGCTCAGAAGTTCCAGTTGAATTTCAAGGGGAAAGTTTTGAAGAAATAAGGGAGGGAGGGATGATGGGAGTATTCCAGAAATACCCCATATTATGTATAAACTGTTGGTCATTGCTGTGGCATGTTGAAAAAAATGTTTGCCGTATTTTCTAATGTAGTCTTGTTAAAATCTTTAAAGCTTTGTGTGCCATCCAGATATTATCACCTGTAGTAGGTTGTTTAACAATTGTGGTACATATTTAATTTATTTAAAAGCTCATTTTGGAAAAGATTAGGATTCAGGAACTAGTAAGATATAATTATGGTATGTTGATTCAACATTGCTTAATCCTTTACACTAGTCTGTATATAAATGATATGCACCCAGTCAATGAGTTTAGTCATATATGTACTTAATTTATTATTCCCTTTTGTTTTACTAACTTAAATTCAGCATCAAGGTAGTTCCATTTTTGAAAATTAGATGTATACAAACTTAAGATGGGGAAACAGTAAAATATATCATGTAATATTAATTGGAAAGTTAGAAAATTAAGATATATGTGAATAATATATATTCATGATGTCAGAAAAATACTTAGGTTCAAGAAATATTAATATAAAATTATAAAAACCCTTAACTCAAGCACTTTTGAAAGGTGGATCTTTCTTCTTCTTCAGGGGTAAACTAGGAATGTTGGTGTGACTGAATGAGTGATATATAAAAGGTGTTCAGTGGTATCATGAAGGTCACATGAAAGGTTTCCAGGAAGTGTTTTTTGTATATTTTTCAGTGTACTGTTGTAAGTGTCTCATTTCCCCGTGCAACACGGCTGAAATGAGAGCATTATGTAAAAAGGTGTTATAGATGTTTTGCTTTACAAATGGTTAAGAAAAAATTATACATTGGTTTGTTCTCTGTCTTAGCAATCATTTTTATTTATTTTATTTTGTTTTATATGTAGTGTGAACTCTCAATGCTTACACTTGATCTATCTAATACTTACTATTTATTTTTTTTGTTTTATATGTAGTGTGAACTCTCAATGCTTACACTTGATCTATCTAATACTTACTATTTATTTTTTTGTTTTATATGTAGTGTGAACTCTCAATGCTTACACTTGATCTGTATAATACTTACTATTTATTTTCTATGCCCATCTTTTAGAAACTGATCTCCTTATCATTTCTTGTTCATTTAATCTCCATGTGTCTCCTTTATTTTACTTTAACAACACTTGTTATAGTTTTTCTTGACCATTTGTAAAGCAAAACATCTCTAACACCCTTTTTACATAATGATATTGTTTCCAGTCGTGTTGCACCGGAAATAAGATACACTAATAACAGTACATTGAAAAATATATAAAACACTTCCTGGAAGCAAAGTGGCCTTCATGACATTACTCAACACATTTTATATATCATTCATTCAGTGACACCAACATTCCCAGGTTTACTCCTGAAGAAGAAAGGTCCACCTTTTTGAAAGCACTTGGGTTATAGGATTTATATACATATATATATACATTTATTGTACCTGACTGCCAGAAAACTTTTGCTGTGGAAGTAAAAAAGAAATTTCCAGTATTTCCATATTTCTTTATCTTCTTTTCATATGGATTCTGAGTCTTTTGTTTCTTTGTTGTGTATCCATGTTTTTTCTTTGTATAGTTCAGCTGCAATGTCTAGTCATTTTTATGTAACAAACATTCTTTTATCACCAAGTTTAAGATGGATTTTATCAAAGGCCAATATTTATTTAATAATAATTGTACCTGAGAGTTTTTAATTTGTTGATTGTTAAGGAAAACTTTAATTGGGAAATTGAAACCATTTACAAAGAAATCATTCCCAGTTCCTTATTGAAATTATTATGTTCATGTACAATTCAAAATGCAAATTTATTTATCTTCTCTCTTAAGACATTCCAATATTTAATGTCCATGTTTTATTTTTTCCCTAAAATTCAGACCTGACAAGATGAAAACATTTCAAAAATGCAGTTTTTTTCATTAATACATTTTGTGTATTTTCATATCATGTAAAATATTTTCCTTGTAACTTAATTTTACTTCACAGACAAAATAGCCTTCTCTGTTAATCTCTGTTCTCTTTGCATGTGTTTAAATAGTAATAAACAGAAGTGCCAAATTTAATTACTATTATAAACCTCATTGTTTTCTTTTATAATATAGTACATGTGAAACACCCAAAAAAGTTGCTATAAATATTTGTGAATTAAATGGTGATTTATGTATAGTTAAACTACATTTTATATCAGTCTTAAATTTGCTTTTGAATACAACTAAATTTATTCTCATGCTATTAATTATTCCTTTTCCCATTTTCTCTTTCAGAAGAGGTTTACAGTACAAGAAATAATAGAAGATCTTTGGCACAGTTTTAGTGCTCTTTAAAAACAATCAAGTCTTTTTTTTTTGTGCTTTGAGAGCTAACATTGTAATTATATTAACTACTAACAAGGTGCACTGCTATAATATTGTGTGTATATAAAGTGTTAAGGTGTTTGTTGATAGAATTTAGCTGCAATTGTTTTTCTTTAAAAAAAAAGTTCTTTTTTTTGTGCTTTATATGACTTTTCTTGATGAGATTTACTTTTAACCCCAAGAAATAACTTCATGATGCTTCTAATCTACCTGGATGGTCTGAACTAGCAGAGTATGATATAAATTATGTATTTCTCACTTAAACTGTAGCTTAGTTTTCCACTGTGTTCAACCTGTGTTACTACATATATCCAAAGTCAGATTAATGTGATACATTTCATATTAGTGCCATTGTAGTTGTTATATTCTCTGTAGTTCTGTGTCAATATAAATAGAAGAAAATGACAATACTAGCTTGATTTATCAAAGTTTGATGTAAATAGGAAAAATTGACTTAAAAGTGCTATGGCATTTCTAGGATATATCTTAAGTCAATATTCAAACATTACTGTTCCAAAGTGACTTTATAAACAAATAAGAAGTTTTATCTCGTTTTAGCTTCTCATAGCTAAACCAAGTCAACCATTGGTGAGTTGTAGCTCTTCTAGCTATGCATCATGTCTTCCTAACAATAGTCTGTTACCTGTATGCAACCTTTTATTAACCTGGATTTATTGCCATATTTGGCAAACTTATTCATTATCAATCTCAGTGTTCTAATAACTCTGTGAATGTAGTTCTTGTAAATTCAGTATTAACAGTTCAGTCTCACAAGAAAATGTCATTATTCCAGTCATTCATATATTTTACTGAAACTTTTGTTTTTTCTCTTCCTTTTTTGTATATAGCTTCTAAATCACTCTTTTCTGGTTTTTTCAAGGACTTTGTTTGAGACCGACATGTAAACAGTGAACAGAAGATACTCGGTAATGTTCAGAATAGTGTTTAGAAGTCAAAAAAGACGATAAACATTGGAGAAAAAAATGCAAAGTGGTTTGATGCACTGATCACAAAAATTGTACTGAGATAGTTACTGTGAGTGGTATTTTGATGATACTGAATTGATTTGGATGGAATGCATTAATTAGACAGATGTTTTTTCTTTTAATTACAAGAAATTAAAAGATTAGAAAGTAACCTAAAGAATGCTTATTATTAAAAACTCAGACTTTGATAAAACTAAACAAAACCATTGGCACTTTTCTCCATTCAGCTCAAATGAAAATCAAAAATCCATTAAGAGTAGTTTATATTGTGTGTAGCCAAAGAAAATAAATTATAAAGCTCGTAGTAAATGTATTTTTTAACAATAAATACTATAACTTTGTAAGTTACAGTAGCATTTAAATTTCTTTATGAGTTTTCTTGTTACCATATATTTATGTATTCTAACTTTTAATGTATATAGTTTTGAATTGAAGTTCAAAAAATTAAGAATAATATATCCAGAATATTTAAGGTATTTGCAAAATCACTATTAAAACATGTATAGTTTGAACTGCAAGCAGTCAACCAAGATTGTTATGATAGTCAATAGTCAAATTATCCTTTTAATATATAATATTACATGTGTGTAAATGCAAATTTCTATCAATATTTGAGTATAAAATATTTCAAATTTAATCTATCATAGAAAAGAAACAGTTTATAACAGTTAGATGGATTGAGAACTAATACTAGTCTTGTTATTGTCCGACTTTTAAACTTGTGATGATGTTTACAATGTTTGCATAAAAATTTACAAAGTTTATTGTATTTATCAATGGACTGACGTGTTGGCGTTTTTTTTTTATTTTTTTGTTTAAACATAATTGTTAGTCATATTCACAAAATGTTAGTTTGACTACCTACAACATTATGGGTGACTTAGTGTTAAAAAGCAGCCTGTAGTTTAAGATTGATTGTTATAAATATATACAGAAAGTAGTTCTTATACCCAGTATGTTAGATATACAGATCCTTGCTCTTTCGTTTTCTGTTGTACTGAACCTGATCTCAATGTTTAATTAAAAGTCATTCCTACACTATTAACTGTGTGTGTGTGTTCAGTACGGGTTTCACTTAACTGAAATAGTGGAAGCTTAGTTTTGGTTCTATAAAATATAACTAAAATGATTTAGTAACTACAAATTCAGTATTATTTTAGTACAAGATAGTTGTTTCAGGATTATTAAACTTGTTTTGCGTAACCAACAATATGAGACTGAGAAAATAGTTGGCGTTTCCATAAAAATTAACATCCTTATACAGCCACATTACACTTAACTGTATTGGACAAACCATCATAGTGTAGCCTAATATTGCAAGAAATCTCAGGCATACTATTCTTGCCTATTGGATTTGTAGGTGTTGCGTTTCCCATTTTTTAGCAGAAAAATACAGTTTTTTCATGTTCTTCAACAATGGTGTCACGGTGGGTTAGCAGTCGCTTTTCAGACTTATAACAGTAAGATCCGTGGTTCGATCCCACGCGGTGAACAGAGCATAAAAGCTTATTGTTTAGCGTTGCCATAAAAAGGAAAGACTAGAACAACATATTCAGTAATGTATTGTTACGAATACGATATTCATCGGAACCGAGACTAACTCCATTCACAATCATTTTTATTGAAATAGAGCAAGACATACAATAATTTCAACCAGTAAGCAGTCTAGGATTAAAACACCCTGTCTATCGTTCAACCTCAGTGTACGTTGGTGGTTAGGCGGGCTAAAGCCCTTGCCACTGTGTCCCAAAAGTGCCCTTTTTTCTCTCTCATAAAAGTCAAGACCTACGAAAAGATACACCTGTTTCCATATCTGGCTAATTAGGTGGGAAAAAAGATTCAGTTTTAAAATTAATGGAACACAGGAACATGAAAGATTTTACAGTAAAAACAAAAATGATATTCTATTAAGAGTTAATACGCAAGAATCTGCTGTTTAGTTGAAGATTATAAAAATGGTTATACGACAAATACAAAGAGTATTTATTTTCCTCTTATGTTTTTACCATATATGTACTAGAAGCAACCCGCAGTCTCATCTGACAACCCCTCCTTCTCAAATAAAAACAAGCTTGCTTTATGTTGTTTGAAAACGTGCTCATTTTGATATTCTTTGCACATTACTGTTCCCTCTTAAAGAGTTAAAG